CGCACGGCTGTGACGCCCTCCAGCTGGTCACGGTGCAGGGGCAGGGGCTGCGCCGCGAACCCCCCTCGCAGCCCAGGAAACCAGGGTGCCCCGGGCAGGCGACAGGGCCACTGCAGCCAGCAGTCCCCATGTGCTCCGAAGCCCGGCGAGGCACAAAACTCGCTCCCTTTTCCCCTCCACCACCCCCCGATCTCCTTCATCACGCAGCAGGGCGACCCCCTGCCCCTTCCCAGACACCCTTTGATGCAGGGTCCAGGCGGGATCTCCCCCATCCCCTCAGACCCCACGACGGGAGCCGCAAACCAAGTCCCTCATCTCAGCGGAGGGGCAAGGCCAAGCTGCCCCGTCTCCTCAGCCGTGGCCGGGGGCAGGAGACCCCCGAGGGGCTACGTCTCTGGAGGAGCAGACGCCGTGGCCATGCATGGCCGGGGACGCGACAGGTGCCAATTCCCCAGCTCCTCCGACAGCCCCGTTAGGTCTCCTCAGCTGCGTGACCGGGCCGAGACTCCTCAGACCGGTGCCGGGGGGCACGGTCCTCTCCATCGCTGAGACAAGCCCATGATCAGCCCTTGGGCACTCGATGGGACAACGGGAGCCAAATCTCTCCCAACCTCAGTGCCCTCAGACACGCCCCGGGGCTCGGGCTGAGGCCGAGGCTGCACCCCTCACCTCCATGCAGCCATGTGCACGGCTACCAGCGTCCTCCTCTCCTCGGACACGCAACCTCTGCCTCCCGAGACGCGTCGCGGGGCGAAGAGCCACTCATCTCCCCAGGTCCCGGGGCCGGAGGCTGGCGAGCGACCGCGAGCTTCCCCCGTCTCCTCGGGGAAGGAGCTGCCCGCCCTGCCCGCACAAGCAGGATCTCGTCTCAATCTGCCCGGCTGTAATTTAAAACCGCAAGCCTGTGTCCTGTCCTCTGCGGCAAAGGAGAACAGTTGTTCTCCCTCTTGGCGATGGCAGCCTTTCAAATATCCGAGGGCTGCTGCCATGTCCCCCTTCATCACCTTTCCTCTGGCTGAACACGCAGCTGCTCCTCGCCCCTCGGTCCTTTCTGTCGCCTGCCTCTGGGCGCTCTCAGCGTCTCCCCGTCCTTCAAGTCGGGAGCCCAGACCTGCGCGCCGCATTCGGGATGAGCCCAAGCAGTGCTGGGAAAGAGGCACCATCGCCTAACGCTCCTGCTGACGGAGCCCAGAACGGCGTTCGGGCCCCAGATCTCCCCCGGCCCCGTCACCGTCTCCCGCTCGTACCCGCGTGCTGGCTTGTTCTCCCGCCGTGCACTTCATCCTGCAGCCCAGCTCCCTGGCTATCAAGTCCCTTCCAAATCCACTCCTATCCTCCGGCCGGTTTGTGGTCCTTCCCTGTTTCAGGTCACTTGCAAAACTGATGGGGAAACTCTCTATTCTGGCATCCAAATTATTTAATAAAAAACACGTTGAGACGGACAGACCCCCGGCAAGTCCCTCCTGCCGCTCCGACATGGCTCTGCCTGTACTTTGCTTACGGGTGTTGAGCCAATTATGTATCCGCCTTTCACCAGTTTCCTCCATTTTGCAACGAGCGCGTCACGCGGGACTGCGTGGGAAGCCCGGGTGCACAATGCGGTGCGTTCCCCTCGTCCACCCGCTCGCTGCTCTGCCCCAGCAGGAGACGAAGCTGGTTGGGGAGGCTCTGTCCTGAGCAAATCCCGGCTGGTTGCTTACAAGGCACCAGTTGTCCTTGCTGGGCACCGGGGTCAGGCTGTAATTCCACGCTGGTGGCCATGGTCCTTTCATCTCCAGACAGGGCCAAGACCGTCCCCGTCCCCATCCCCTCAGGGCACAGTTGGGTAATAACAACCCCTCCCTGAGACTCCCTTCCCAACTCCTGCATTCACAGAACCGCAGACAAGGAGGGTTGAAGGGAGCTCAGGAGGCCACGTCTAGTCCAACCCCTGCTCAGAGCAGGGCCAGCCCCAGCTACATCATTTCATAGATTTCATAGACATCAGGGCTGGAAGGGACCTCGGAAGATCATCGAGCCCAGCCCCGCGCCCAAGGGCAGGGAGTCAGCTGGGGTCATAGGATCCCAGCAAGATGAGCATCCAGTTTGCTCTTGAAGGTGTTCAATGAAGGCGCTTGAACCACCTCCGGTGGCAGGCTGTTCCAGACCTTGGGGGCTCGGACAGTAAAGAAATTCTTCCTTATGTCCAGCCTGAAACGGTCTTGTAGTAGTTTGTGACCATTCGACCTCGTCATCCCTTGGGGCGCTCTGGTGAACAAACGTTCCCCCAGATGCTGGTGGTCACCCCTGATAAACTTGTAGGTGGCCATCAGATCACCCCTGAGCCTGCGCTTTTCCAGGCTAAAGAGCCCCAGGGCTCTCAGCCTGTCATCGTAGGGTCTGCTTCCCTGACCTCTGATCATGCGCATGGCTCTTCATCCCAGCCAAGGCTTGGTCTTAGCCAGGTCTTCAACACCACCAAGATGGCAATGCCACCACCTCTCTGGGGAGCCTGTTCCAGTGCTTCACCACCCTCCTAGAGAGAATGCTTTTCCTAATATCCAACCTCAACTTCCCTTGCTGCAGCCTGAGCCCATTGCTCCTGGCCCTGTCATCTGCCCCCACTGAGAGCAGCCCAGCTCCAGCCTCTTTGCACCCCCCTGCAGGGAGGTGAAGGCTGCTATTCAATCCCCCCCGGTCTTCTCTTCTCCAGACTAAATCAGCCCAGTTCCCTCAGCCTCTCCTCCCCAGTCCTGTCCCCCAGCCCACAACCACTTTTGTTACCCTCCGCTGGACTCTCTCCAATGTGTCCACATCCTTTCTGCAATGGGGGGCCACAGCTGGACACAGGACTCCAGATGTGGCCTCCCCAGTGCTGAATAGAGGGGGGAGAATCACTGCCCTCCATCTGCTGGCACTGCTCCTACCAATGCGGCCCAGGATGCCAGTCGCCTTCTCGGCACCACGGGCACACTGCCGGCTCCTGTTCAGCGTCTTGGCCCCTGTCCCCCCAGCTCCTTTCTGCGGAGCTGCTGCCCAGCCTGTCACCCCTGCCTGCACCGGTGCAGGGGATCACTCCCTCCTCAGCGCAGGACTTTGCACTTGTCCTTCCTGAACTGCACGAGATGACTTTTGGTCCAATCCTCCAATTAGCCGAGGTCTCTCTGCATCCTAGCCCTACCCTCCAGTGTATCTACTCCTCCCCACAGCTTGGGGTCATCTCAGCAGAGCCCGAGACGGCAGCTTCCCCTCCTCTCAGAGTCCTTCACACGCTACGGTTTGGATCCAGCTCAGCCTTGGCTTCCTTAGAGGAAACCAGCCCCTCCAAAGCTAGCTGCTTCCCCCCAAAGCAGCCTTTGTCCCTTGCCACCTCTCTGCCCGTGAACCATGGCCATGCAGAGCTCCGGACACCGCTGCCCGAGGTAACCCAAAAAGCCTCCCTTCGAGCCAAACCCATTGCATGGCCCTTGGCGGGAGGCATGCCCGGCGAAACAGGCTAAAACGGAGAGTTGCAAACGAGAACACGCGCCACGTGGCAAAGCCCTCGGCCCGGGTGCGTTCCTGGGTGCGGCACGGTCACACAAGGGTGCAAGGGGCACAGGCCGCGGGTTCGGGGGCGTTCACAGGAGCACCAGAAATCCAGACCTGAGGGCAGGGCTCTGCACCAGTCAGGCACCAGGGTTCACATTGGCAGGCGCTTGGCGTCTCATGCTCCACGTCTGCCTGGTGCCGAACGTCACCTCCTGACGTGGGGGTCCCTGCCTCAGGACTAGAGCAGCTTGCCAGCCCCCCAGGAAGTGCTACTCCCCAGGGCTGCACATAGGGCCGGGTGCGCCACATGAGGACACAGCCCCTCAAGTGTCCCGTTTGCCCTGACAGCGCGGCACCCCCTCGGCCAGCCTCAGCCCCTTTCTTCCTCCCATGTTTCCTACTGCTGGAAACTCGGCGCCTGCCACCCCCTCCCGGCTCATGCCAACGTAAGGCCACAGCTTTCCCACCCCTGCCGAGACCTCTTGCCACCCTGTGGGCCTGCTTGCACGTCCCGTGTGAGGTGCGATGCACGCCGAGGGCCAGGCAGCACGTCGAGCTCTGCCATAACCAACTTGAGACCCCTCCACGGGCTGCACCGGCCCCCTGCCCGCCCAGCACCAGCACCAGCACATGCACCAGCTCATGCCAGGAGCCTGCTCCGCCGCAGCGCTTTCCACGGGGAACACGCATACAGCCTAAGGCCTCGACCTTCATCTGAGACCGTCTCTCCTTCCCGTTTCTCTCTGCCATCTACCATAGCGCCCATCTCCAGAGCCTCCGCCGCGCTCGTACAACCAGACATCTCTCAGCGGCTCTCCCTTCCACCACGGGCTAGGACTGACACGCTGCTTGAACCCCCTAACTCTCGAGGCCCCTTCGGGTCTCGCTGGCATGAAGATATGGAGAGAGGTGTTTTGGGGGCCTGGATGCTCCCCGCGGGAGCACAGCAGCGGTGATGGATGGTGTAACTGTGGGGCACGTGACTCTTGGGGGCCGTGTGCGCGCCCGCGTAGGAGCGCGCGCACGCATGTACGCCCCTGGCATGCACCGGTGAGTGCACGTGAGCTGGGTGGGGGGCGAGTGTGTACATGCGTGCGTGCGAAGGGCGGGGCATGCCCTGCGATACGTCCGGCAGCACCAAGCCCCACACGATTGCAAGGTCACATTCAACACTGTACAGCACAAAACACGTCCAGCCCCTCTCGCCACCCTCCAGAAGGAAATGACACCCATGCCACGAACCTTGTGAAGCTGGGAGGCCGGCGGGTTATCAGTCTGTGGGAGAGAGGTAAAGGAGAGGAGGGTGTTAGCAAGCGCGGCCACATCAGCCCGTACGTCAGACGCTGCTCCTCGTGCCGTGCCGTGCCGTGCCGCGCCGAGGAGGCGGGACGTGGCAGCGGCCCGGGGAAGGACGAGGGGCCCGTGCCCTGCCCCTGCCGCCGAGTGGACAGAGGTCCCGGGAATCCCAGCCACTGCCTGCTGGCCCCTCGCACGCACCGGGCTGCCCCATGCCCGCCCAGAAGCCGATCCCTGAAGGGCTGCGACGAGAACGCGGCGTGTGCACGAGGCGGGTCCGTGTCCAGGGCAGGGACGTGGCCCGGAGAACCCTGCGCTCCCCGTGGCCTCCCCGGCTCACCCCAAGCACATGCCGCAGAGGCCACCAGCACACAACCACACAGCCACAGCCGCGGTCCCCCGGGGGCAGCAGCAGCCTCTTCCCTCCCGGGGCTCCCGCTATCTACTGTCCCCGGGAGGGTCTCAGAGACTAGACGTGGATGCAGGACGTGAGGGGGCCGGGGCGGCCCGTGGAAACCGGTACAGGCTGCGTGTCCCCTTCGATCCGCACTCCTCCAGCACAGCTCGAGATGCGCCCAGCCCGCTGGGGCAGAGCCACCCTGCCTGCCACGCCTAGCCGGGCCGCCCGCTCCTGCGCGGCGCAGACGTGGCTCGCTTCCTCCCGAGGCCCGGGGCAGAGCCCCCTCGCAGCCCCGGTTCACTGGCTCTGACCCTCCAGTGTTGGCACTGCGTGACGCTCCCGTCCCCCGGGACTCGGGGAGAGGGACGCTGGATGAGCAAAGGAGAGGCAAGTCTGTGCTGCTACAGGCACCTGCGCCTCGCGAACATGCCCGAGAGGCCCCAGGCTGCGAGGAAACCTGGATCCTTCCCCAGGTGACGCTGGCGGGGCTGGCTGCGGGGGGGCTGGCCCTGCCGGGACTCTCCTGCCCACACGGGGCTGCGCTGCTGGAGGGTCCTTACTGCGCTCCTCCTCGGCACCAGCTTCTGCCTTCCAGGCCGCGGGGAGGAAGATGAGAGGGAAGGAGCCAATGGGGAAAGACGAGGAACATGGAGTCACGGCGTGTGATGACACAGAAAGCCTCGTCACATCACGTGGTGAAGCCAGAGGACTCGCCCCCTCCCCTCCGGTTTCGGGATGGAGGAGACAAACGCCATGAGAGCGGCTGAGATGCTGGCGGAAAGGACCCCGATGGCAGCAGTGAAACCCGGCGGAAAGCAAAGCGCTGCTGCCCTGCCAGGGAGGGGGGAGACGGGCGCCCCCGCCCACGCTCAGCCCCTCGGCTCCGGGTCCCGGGCACAGGCCAGCACGGGGCGCAGCGGTGGCAGCAGGGCACGGGGGTGCGTGTGCATGTGCGTGTGCACGCCGTGTCCAGCCACCTCCCCGTCCCAAGCACTGCGGCGTGGGGCCGCGCAGCACGGCCTGGACCTGGCGCTGACGGGAACCGAGAAACAAGAGTGACCCCTCGGGGCCTGGCCGGCCGCAGCGCGTGAAAGCAGCCGCAGCCGGGCTGGGCGGCAGTCATCTCGCCGAGGCCTCGGTTCCCAAAATTACTGGTGTTGTGGTCGTGGGCTGTGAGACGCCTGGCCAGACGCTGCTCCGGCTCTGCCAGCACGGGCCCCGGAGCCAGGAGGCTCCTCCGCCCTGGAGCCGCGGCCTGAGAGGACCAGGGACTGGCAGCCGGTGCGCTGCCCTCCCCTCCCCTCCCCTCCCCTCCGACACCCGGCCTGGCCTGCAGCCCTCTGGCGGGGGCAGGGCCGGGGCCTGCCCCGCACGTGCTCCTCTGCCCGGGCTGGGCTCTGCCCTCCCCCTGAAGCTGCTTTGCCGAGAGTGAGAGTCTAGAAACCGAGCCAGGCTTCCTGCTGCAACCCACATCCTGCCTGACCCCTGCCGAGCGCGCCGGTCACTGGCCCCCTTGCGCGCACCCGAGCAGGGCTGCTGGCGCTGTTTGCTCGCAGGGGCCGTGCACGGGACCCTCCACAGGCTGGTGAATGCACATGCGATGCAGCCACGGCCTGGCGTGTGTCACGGGCACTGTACTGCTTGCGGAGAGTCCCCCCAGCAGCCCCGGTCTGCAGTCGCGTGCCTACGACCAACCCAAGGGCTCTGCCCCCCGTTCCTCACCGCGCGGGCCAGGGGCGTGGCCCCGAGACCTGCCGCTGGCACCGGGCGCCGCGGGCCTTACCTCACGCTTCCAGCGGGCCAGCCACTCGTCCCGCTTCCTCTTGCTGATGTAGTAGGGGTCCCCGGCCTGGAAGGTGTGGCGCGGCATGGGCCTCTGGCGCAGGCTCGACTCCCAGCCCAGGCCTCCGCGCAGGCGGCCTCGCGATCCCTGTGCGTGGCGAGAGGAGACGTGGGCTGACGGGTGTCAGCCGCGGGAAGGCCGGGGCGCGGCGGGAGGGGGAGCAAGGGAAACCGAGGCACGGCCGGGCGCGGGGCAGTGGGGTGAAACCCTGGCATCCGGTCCCCGCAGCCCCTAGCCTAGGAGACCCCGCTCTGCCCCCGGGTTTGGTGTCACCTGGGACAGATCGCGCACACTTACACACGCATACACACTTTCATGTACACACTCATAGGCGCACTCATGCACACATTTATGTGCACATGCACTCACGCTTGCCCCCTTCCTGCAAGGTACCCACTCATATGCACACACGTTCACGTGCACATGTACATTCGTGCACACACTTGCACGCGCACACACTTTCAAATTGCACACTGCTCGCATGCACACACACTAATACACATGTGCACACATGTGCACACCCTTTGCATGCTTGCACACACACACACACACACACACACACTGCATGCATGCTTGCGCACACCTTTTGCATGCACACACATACATGCTCACATCCTTTGCATGCTTGCGCACGCGCACACACACACACACACACACACACATCAGTGTACGCACAGACACACCCTGTCTGGCAGCTCCAGACACAGGGCCCATCTCTTCTGCATCCCAGACTCAGACCTGGCTGTCCGTGCAGGTCGCCCGGGGGCCGTACAGTGTGCGGGGCCTTCCAGCTGCCCACCAGGCCCCGGGGCTCTCCTGGCGCTGGCAGGGCCCCAAGCCGGATCCCACTCGGCAGTGCCCGACCCACGACACAGCGCACTCCAGCCCCCCGGCCACCAGCCCCCCCCACCGCCTGAGCTCTTGCATGGGGAGCAGCAAGCGAAGGGCCGGGGGTAGGCAGCCCCAGCACATACTTGCCTCCATTTTCATCGTCTCGTAGGTGTTTTCTTCCTTCTCTTCTTTGCCTGCAAACACAGAGCAGAGAGCACGTGAGCCGGGAGCGGGTCGGTGCCACCGGCCAGCTGGGCAGAGCCGGAGCACGTGGGGCACGGATGCTGCCAGCTGGGCCAAGGCCACTCCGGCCCTGCCTCTGCCGGGGTCACCCATGAGCGGCGGGGTCCCTTCCCTGTGACCCCCCCTCGCCTCCCCTAAGCTGACTGCAGGGCTGCCCCCCCACCGTGAGTCAGGGTGAGCCCCACGTGGCTGGATGAAGGGGCTCGTCTCTCCATCCCTCCCTGCGCCTGGTGTGGGGGCAGGCTCTCTGCTTGCAGCCAGTGCTCCTGGCAGCCCGGACCTGGCCCCAGGGCTCCATGCTGCCTGCAGCCGATGGTGCCCCCTGGGCAGGGGAACGTGGCCGGGGCTCGAGGCAGGGAGGGGAAGCACCTCTGGTTCCCTGTGTCACCAGTGCACCACATGGCCTCGAAGGTGTGCGCTGAGCTGCTGCCAGGAAGGCGGCTAAAAATAGCGCCGGTTGCTTCTGGGGTGCCGAGCCCGGCCGGGCTGTGGCGGGAGCCCGAGCAGGCCGTGCAAGTGGGCCTGGGGGTGGCCTGAATGCACTGGGGCACAGGGATGCGTGTGCGTGCATGTCCTGCACCACTGCAGCAAGTATGTGTGTGTGTGTGTCTACCGGACAGCCCTTTCTGCACAGCTGCAGCAAGTACGTGCGTGCCTATGTACGTACGCGCTTGCGTGTCTGCAGGAGATCCCAGCTGCAGTGAGCACACACGTGTGTGTCTGCAGGAGAGCCCTGCTTTCCTGCACAGCTGCGGTGAACATGTGTGCATCATGTGCACACATGTGTTTCTCTCTGCAGGACAGCCCTGCCTTCCTCCACAATTGCAGTGAGCATGCATGTGTTTGCAGGGCAGCCCTGCCTTCCTGCACAGCTGCAGCGACTGTGTGTGCATCATGTGCACACACATACGTGCGTGTTTGCAGGAGAGCCCTGCCTTCCTCCACAGCTGCAGCGAGTATGTGTGTGCATACATGTCTCTCTCTGCAGGAGAGCCCTGCCTTGCTGCACAACTGGGGTGAGCATGCATATGCATGTGTGCACACATGTCTGTAGGAGAGCCCTGTTTTTCCGCACAGCTATGGCAAGCATACATGTACATGTGTGTGAAAGCATGTGTATGTCTGCAGGAAAGCCCCGTCTTTCTGCACAGCAGTGGTGAGTGCACACGTGTGAACATGTGTCTGCATGTCTACAGGAGAGCTCTGCCTTCTGCATAGCTGGAGCAAGCATGCGTGTGCACGCACGTGTGTGCGTGCGTATCTGTAGCCCTGCCTTTCTGCACAGCTGCAGTGAGCCCGCATGCATGTGTGCGTGCCCTGCGCCCACTCCAGGCACTCTGCTCCCCACCCTGCCCTGCTGCCTCCGCTCTCCCTGCCCAGCCAGGAGCCCTCCATGCCCCCGGGGTTGCACACTCAGCCTCAGGGAGAAGCAGCTGACCTGCCTCGGGCCGCATACGCACCATCCACTGGGGCCTGGGACACAAACTGGGCCTCTGCAGGGGCGGGGGGGTCGAAGACGCCAGGAGCCCAGATCAGAAGGCAGACAGGAGGGAGGTCTTCCGGGGAGCCGCGGCACAGGGCAGCTCTCCAGACATGCCAGGAAGGATGTGGGATCGAAAGCAGCGGCTACGGACACACGCGTGTGCTGGCAGGTCCCCAGGGACCAGAGGCACTGGCAGGCGCAGCTGACAGCAGCAGAATTAACCCCCTCTGTCCGGGACACTTGGCGCTAGCACTGGCATGGCCAGGGCAGCTGTGGCCGCGGGGCGTTTCCCCCCGGACGCAGCCAGGAGAAAGGCCCGAGAGCCCGGGCGTGAAGTGCTGGGTGCCAGGCTCCTGGCCTGTGCCTCCCTAGAAGGCTTTGAACGACTCAACGGAGATGGATGGAGGGGCCATGAGCAATGCGTTTAATTAAGCTTTCCAAAGCGCTTTGCTGACGTCCTGGACAAGAGACTGCTACAGAAGTGGCACTGCCATCGGGCGAGAGGAAAAGCATCTTCTCGGAGCCAAAGCCAGGACGAGGCAGAAAGCAAAGAGCACGGCTGACCGATTCAGTCCCAGCAGGGCAAGAGCCAGGCCCCGGGCTCACCCGATGGCCAGGATCTGATGCCTCTATTAGCAGTGATCAGGGCAGAGAGGACCACGTGGGACCTTGACAGGGAGCAAACGCAGCGCCGGGCTGATGAACGGGCCAGGGGCGAGCGCAAGCTGCAGGCAGCCCGCGCGGGCTCTCAGCACCGGGCAGGGACCGGCACGACGGACGCAGCAGCGGGTTTACGCCACGTGCACCGCTGCAGCTGCAGGCACCGTGCCGTATGGCCCCTTCAGACCCGGAGCCGGCCCCACCTTGGAAGGACCCAGGCTCCCGTGTCACCCCCAGAGCTGCCCCACAATCCCACTCACTAAGGGCCAATTCATCCAACATCCAGCAATATTATTTTGGGCCTTGTTCCAGGTATTTTGGGCCTACTGGGGCCAATGCCCACCTGAGCTTCCTTTGTGCCATCTGGTGCCGGACACCCTCCAGACGGGATCCTGGATCCTGGTCTTCCCACCCCCGTTCCCGTACCGGCCATGGCGGGGTGGAAGCGTGATGCCGTCAAGGCACCGAGAGCTCAGCCGTGGGATCCTGGGTGCACGTGGGGCTGAGAGCTGTGAATCTGCTCTGGACCCAGCGTCGGGCTGGGTTGCTCCCCCAGCACCGGCTCTCGCAGACGGGGAGGAAAGCAGGGCTTTCCAGCGGCCTTTGTGTGGAGACCCAGGCTGCAACGAGGCCTCATCAGTGCCCTGCGAAGCAGAGCCAGAGTTTTCTAGGGGCCTGTCTGGACATCAAGGGGATGGACACAGATGGGCGATCGCTGCCTGAGAGCCGGACGCCGGCTTCGGGACCATCGTTACAATTTGACTGCGGTCAGCAGGGACGGTCCCATGCAGCACCACGTCTCCTGGGGGCCACGCAACGGCCGACTTCCTGGAGCAGAGAGGGGAATACAAGCACCAACGGACCAGGAGGAAGAATTCACGGAGATATCGGCGGAAAGCCGGACCGAGATGGCCGGAAGACCATGGCGCCGCAGCCAAGAAGGAGCGTGGCTTTGGCGAAGCACCTGTCTTGGGTGCGAGAGGAAAGCGGGGGCAGCAATTTGATATAAAAAGCAAGGGAACCCTGAGGACAGACAGCGACCAAAATAAACCAGGAGTTCTGGCATGCAGGACGCCGGTAAGGGAAGCTAAAGGCAGGGCTAGGAACGGTCTCATTTTTAAGCGCATAAGGGACAAAAGGAAGTCCACCAGGAGTAAAGGCCCATTCCTCTGCAGAGACGGCGAGACAGCTAATACTGCTGCAGGAAAGGCAAGCAGGAGAAAGCGCCAGGCCCAGCTCATCACAAAGGATGCAGGGGCCCAGGCACAACTAACACCGGCCCGCGCAGGCCCTCGGCACATGTGTGTCTCTGCAGGACAGCCCTGCCCTCCTGCACAGCTGGGGTAAGCACACACATGCACACGCCCGGGTGCTCACCCAGGTGATGGGTCCACGCCTGACCGTGTTCCCCAAGGAGACCCCAAGCCTGGTGGTCAGAGGCAGTGGGCACTGCCCAGGAAGAAGCCCGGAGCAACGGGGTCTGAGCAGGGCTCCCGCAGGCGTCACTGCTGCAAAAACAACAGATGCGCGGTGCCAGCTGACCCGAAAGGAGAGGGGGAGATGCCCCGGGTCCAGGGGCCGGGCAGGTGGTCAGTCAGGACAGCGGGCAGCAGCCCGCAAGAGGCAGCCCTGGATACGAGCGAGCTCGGGCATGCACCGGCTGTGGCGGGGGGGACAGGAAGCAGGACTTCCCCTACACCTCAGAAGGGGTCAGGGGAAATGGTGAGCTGCCCAACAGTATCCCGCAGGCTGGCTCACTTGTCCAGCTGCTGCACAGCTGGCGGGATGCACAGGGTGGCTGTCTCCCTCCGGCGGTGCCGTGTCATCCAGCTTTGGGAACACGTGTCCGGGACCGGGGGCACAGATGTCACTGCAGAGGGGGGCTATACAGCTGTGGGGTGGCAGTAAGGCGCTGGGGGTGGACGGCGGGCGTCGTGCCCCGTGAGTGTTACAGATCGCATCAGGCTTCCCCTCCTAGAGCCTCGGGGCCCAACTGCAAGCAAGACAGTTCCCCCAGGACGCGGGGCCCGACACCGTGTCAGCTCCACACACCTGGAAACGCCCAGCACCAAGAGCAGCCCCTGGGGAGAGCACAAGCCTGGGGCAGATCCACACACCCCGTGCAGGAGCCGCCTGAGCTGAGTCAGGCTTCCCCAACCCAGCTGGGGGCCAGGGCCTGGCAGCAGACACGGGTGCATGGGGCTGGCCGGGGCCAAGGAGCAGGGCGAGAAGAAAACGGCAGAGAGCGTCACCCCGTGCCAGAGGGGATGCTGGGGTGAGAGGCAACCTCATCCCCAGCCGCCCACACGCCAGGATGCCGTCTGCTCCCCAGCACGACTGTCGTGCCAGCCGCACCGAGCAGAGCCACGTGTGTGCCCGCACGCGGGTGTCTGTCTACTTGCTCCCAGCAGGGCAAAGGGCTCTGGACAAGCAGCAAGGCCCTGTGCACTCAGTGCGTGCACATGCACCCCTGCACAGACACACGCATGTGCACAGACCCCCCTCCCCCACATGGCTGCCCGGGAGGGGGCGTGTGCACGCTGCACGCTGCTGACAGAGGCGTGCCCGGGGTGGGCCGTGTCTCTGGGTGAGCAGGAAGGAGGCCGAGCATGGAGACACCCACCCACTGGCTTCCCCTGGCTGAGATCTCGGGCAGGAAGGAGAGGGTGCGGCTGGTCCTGGAGGCCGGGCTCCCTCCCCTGTGCCGGGGGCTGCGGGCAGCCCCGTTCCCAACCGCACGGGTCAGGCCTGCGAGAGCCCCTCTCCGGTGCACAGGGCCTGGCCGGCGGTCACGCCTTGCCCTAAATGCCGAGGTCTTACTTTTCTCGGAGACCTTCCCCCTGCCTCTTGTCTTCTGGGGGGCGGGAGGGGCCAGCTCACCCTCATCGGCCTGGGGGTCCAGGCCGTCCTTGGGGGTGCAGTGGCCGTTCTCCAGGGCGCGGCCCGGCTCGCCGGCCGCCCAGCTGTCCCG